AATGGCAAAGTAGAGGGGGGAGATAAGACTCAAATCCCTACTCTGACCATCCATCGCCCCGTTGAGAAAACACGTCGGAAACAAGGAAGAGATTGTTTTCGGTTTCTTTCAGAATTTAAGTAAACACACACACACACACACACGCACACACACACGCACGCACGCACACACACACACACACACACACGCAACGAAGAAAATGGGGAGAAAAGATAAACGTCATCTTGATTTTAAGCTGAAGAATTTGCATTTCTGAGTTATGTCCCTTGGTTATTCGTTGGGTTGAGACGCCATGAATAAACTCAATGTTTAGTTGTTATTTTTTATGGATTTATTTTTATACACTATGTTTCCAGTCCATTAAAAATCACCAGACAGGCACTAAAAGCTATGTTAGAAATAGTCATTATCTATGTATGTATATATGTATGTATGTATGTATGTATCTATCTATCCCAGTCTGTTCATATCTATCTGTCTATCCCAGTCTGTTCATATCTATCTATCCCAGTCTGTTTCTTTCTTTCTTTCTTTCTTTCTTTCTTTCTTTCTTTCTATCTATCTATCTATCCCAGTCTATTGATATTTATGCACAGTGAGGAAAGCAAGTATTCAAATCTTGACACAAAAGCCGGTATATAGCATTATTTACTTAAACATATAGCATCTTTCTTAAATATATGTTCATAGTAAGCGTTGTCGTTTATTTATACGGAGACAATAGGCATACATTGTCCGAGCAGCCAGTGTCACTTTCTAGTATTGAATATGTCTTTATTTTATTTTCGAGTTATGTGTACAAAATTAATTTTAATTATTGATGCTGTTAAATGTCCTCCTCCCTTGACGTGTTTTATGTTATTTTGATACAGAAAAAAAGTTCCTTGCTGCGTCCTATATTCATCATTTTCTAGAAACCATTTTAACCGATAATAAAACAGTTTGTAGGTGCACCTGCAAAAATCTGCCTGACCAGAACCTGGAAGCTGATCTATCTTCTAAGATCTGACCTATCTCCGGTGGTGTATTTCGAAAGGAGTATTCGTAGCATTCGTCGGAAAGCTTGGATCTGCGCCTAAAGCGTTATACCTCAGCTGTCGATTGCGGTACATTATCTGTTATGGCTATACAGGCTCGACAGTGTCGGTTGCGACGAATACATGTGAAGACGCTCTCCCCCGATGCCGCCTTGTTTTCTTTCCGTTGAGCATGCATCTCCTCGGCGGCAAACCTTCGTTTCTCCTCTCCTTCCACTAGCCCTCGGTGTAAATCGCGTCTCCAGCATAAGCGATCGCTAAGTGACAGTCTCGGTTGCAACGAATGCATGTGAAGACGCTCTCCACCGATGTCGCCTTGTTTTCTTTCCGTTGAGCATGCTTCTCCTCGGCGGCAAACCTTCGTTTCTCCTCTCCTTCCACTAGCCCTCGGTGTAAATCGCGTCTCCAGCATAAGCGATCGCTAAGTGACAGTCTCGGTTGCAACGAATGCATGTGAAGACGGTCACCACCGATGTCGTCTTGCTTTTTTTTTCCGTTGAGCATGCTTCTCCTCGGTGGCAAACCTTCGTTTCTCCTCTCCTTTCTCTAGCCATCGGTGTAAATCGCGTCTCCAGCATGAGCGATCGCTAACGAAGTCCCGCCACCTCTCGATGTTCATGTCCTTCGCCATCATCTCCGTTTTGAAGACGTCTTTGAAGCGAAGATTAGGTCGCTGTCGTTCCCTCTTACACTTTGAAGGACTGGCTTGTAAAATTCAGTACGTCCAAATCCAAACTAGTAACGCCCCACCATCCCTACTAAGCAGGACTTTTACTTATTATGATGGGTGGGGGTTTTCTCGAGGAGGATCTCTGAGTTGAAGGTCTCTTGGAACTTAAGTTCATATCAAACCTCGGGTGGACATCATATATCCGAGATATTTGCTAAAGATGCTAGAAAAAGGTTCGGTTCCTTGTATCGCTTCAGTAAGTATCGGATTTCCCTGATATACCATTAATCTTTCCAAGAGCCAGATCAGACTAAAAATGACATATATGGACTGGAGCTGACCAGTTCTCACTTACCTTTTCAAAAGCGTCTACGCGGCCTTGTGGGTGATGAATTTTGCCAACCCAGCAACTCCTTTTCCCACAGAAGAAACATTGCAAGCCTCTCGCTAATCTATCGCTATTTTCATGGTATGTGTTCTGAAGTGCTTAATTCTTTGGCTTTTGCAAATAGGACCCAAACTCAAGGTTGAATCACCCCCCCTTGCCCTTCCGATTCCATTAGTAAATTCAATGTAAACAGGAACGGGCATTAGTTGTATTTTCTCGTATTTTTTTCTCCATTTTGATATACAAGACGGATTTCATAGAAGGCTGAATCCATTAATAAAAGCATTTTTGGCCTGAAGAAATTCTTTCGTGTGACTAAAAGTTCTTTTAATTTCATTTGTCTCATTCAATTAACCATTATTATTATATATATATATATATATATATATATATATATATATATATATATATATATATATATGAAAGTTGCGATGGATAAATTGCCGTCTACATCACACAAAAATGAAAATGACACTGACATCTCATTTTAACAGATATATGAACCATAATTACACAAAAATATTTTGAAATACTAAAGAGTAAATTTATTTAATAAAATCGCCATTGGCCTCAACCACATCCTTTAGAAGACTTCGGAATCTCTTGCAACTCTTCTGGATGATCACCTTGTTTAAGTTGGTGAATGCTGGCATAATCCTTGCCTTCAGTTCATCTTTGGTGTTACAAGGAGTTTTGTTGGTCTCTCACTCAACTACTCCCCACACATAATAATTAAGGGGTTTGCAGTCTGAGGAGTTAGGTGGCCAGATGTAAGGGGTGATGTGGTTGTAGAGATTGTCTGACAGTCATGACTGGTTTCTCCTGCTTATGTGGCATGGTGCAAAGTCCTGTTCTTCTAGCAGGTATCCTCTTGACCGAGGGAAGCACTATCTCCTCAAGGTCCTTGATGAGGGCCTCTGTGTTGAGTCTGAGGCCCTCAGCAACAAATTCCGGAGCTCTTTTCTTTTTCTCAGAACAATCAGATTAAAAACATAGACATCAATTTAACCATGCTGGATGTAATTCATTTTCCTGCTGTGAAACTAACAAAATCTGAAGATTTAACATCGAATCATTTGAATTTATTTCATATTTTTCGGAAAATAAAAAAAAATCCGTTTTTGCAGCTGAATTATTGAGATTAGCAAAAAACGACATAGAGATAAAAAAAAAATTAAATTAACCATTGTCGTTACGTTTTTATTTCTCACTTATCCGACCGATTGATTCTCCTATCTTTTTCAGCTTTCTATCTTCCTGAAACCTGTTCTTTTATTGTCCTTTCTCCTCACTAAAGTCTTCTCATTCTCTTTCATGCCCAATAACCCCTTGCATCCAGGTGGCATTATCACCATCCTCTGTCTGCCTGAAACCTGTTCTTTTATTGTCATTTCTCCTCACTAAAGTCTTCTCATTCTCTTTCACTCCCAGCAACCCCTTGCGTCTTAGTAGCATTATTGCTTTGCTTGGGGCGAAATCATTTTTTAAAAATACAATAGCCCAGAGAATTAAACTGTTGATTCGTGCATTACAACAATTGGGATTTCAATCCCTGGACCAGTTGGTAGTAATTAAAACTTAGAGGAAACACCGAGAGAAATAACTGAATACCTGATGAAGATCGCTGGGTACAACGTCCGAAACGTTGAAATAATAAAAACAAAGAAAATGACACATTGGTCTGAATCTAAATAGTGATAATTCCCCATCTCAGTTATTCAGACAAAATCTAGAGGATTAGTGAATGCAGAATACATCTGATGAGCGGCGGAGAACGGGCCGGCTGAAACACTGTGTTAAAAACAACAAAGACGGATATTCGTTTCAGTCGCGACAATGTTTCATCTCAAAACAATTCATCCAGTCTTATTTCTTTTTAGATTTCAGGCCTGTGACGAAATCGATGATAAAAAATAAGAAATGCAGATAGAAATTATAAATACTGGAATTTTTATTTTTTCCCGGGTAAGGCGGGGTGTTCTTGACACAAGTGCAATATCTGCACACTCCATAAAACGGGAAAATGGAATCCAACAAATATCTTGATGCTTTTATGCAGACAAAAAAAAAAATAAAAAAAAAAAAAAATAAAATAAATAAATAAAATCAAAAAAGCGAATAAACTTCTTTTTTTTTTTTCGCCAATATAAGCATTGGGTAATCTTCTTTTCCGACTGAAAGTGGATCGATAATCAATATTTCGATCGTTGTAAAAGCCGCTAATATCAGCCAATTTGGTCTTCACCGACATTCAAAGATTCCGTTTTCTCTTCCCAGTGACTTGTCTCCCGAATTGCCCAATCCTCTGCTTTGCCGTTTTCTCGTTTTTTTTTTACAGACAAACCAAATGAATTTAACCATTGGGCTGAACGTGACGGTTTGATCGTCTGATTAGCCAGCGTTTTCATTCATTTCTTCCATTTTTCATTTAAAAATTATCTTTTTCATTCTTTCTTCTTCGACTGGGATTTCCTTTTTTCAGATAATCTTTTTTCCATACGATTTCTTTCTTAATTTTCCTGTACGGAATTCATTTTCCCTTTCTTTTATTTTAAGAATTTCTTACTTAAAAATTCGTTTTTTTCTTTCTCTCTGTTTCTATCGTAATTTTATGTTTTACTATCAATATTTTGATTTTTTTTTCTTTCTTTTTTTTTCTCGATAATAATTTTATATTTTTCGGCTGGTCATTTTTTAATGGATATTAATTTAGTTTGTTTTCGATCATAATGTAATTTTCTTCGACTCATTACATGAATTTTTTTCTTTCTTACTTTCTTTCGATCGTAATTTTGTTTTTTACGATGAAAATATTTGATTTAAATTGTTTGTTTGTTTCATTCGATCGTTCTTTCGTCTAAGTCGTTTTCGCATATAATTTTATTTTTCCGTTTCATTATTTTGTATGGATTGTATCTTTCTTTCTGTCTTTCTTTCTTTCTTTCTTTCTTTCTTTCTTTCTTTCTTTCTCAACCTTATTTTACATTTTCTTTTTTCTTTCTTTCTTAACACTATTTTCCGTTTTCTTCTTTCTCAACATCATTTTACATTTTCTTTCCTTCTTTCTTTCTTTCTTTCTTTCTTTCTTTCTTTCTTTCTTTCTTTCTTTTTTCTTTCTTTCTTTCTTTCTTTCAGTTTACTATTTCTCCCCCGTTTCTTTCTTTCTTTCTTTCTTTCTTTCTTTCTTTCTTTCTTTCTTTCTTTCTTTCTCAATCGTGTTTTAATTTTTTTCCATAAATTCTTTCCCTCTTTCTTTCTGATTCCTCCTTCTCTTTTTATTTGTAGCTTTCTTCTTACCGTTTTTTCCTATTTTTCATGCTTTATTAATCGAAATTCTTTCTTCTTTCGTTTGTTCAATGTCAGTTCCTTTCCAAACATGGCGTCTTTCTTATTTCATCTTCCCGAGTTCGTGTCTGTAGCAGAAATGAGTTTTTCTCTTAAAGACTTTCATTGTTTCTTAGCGTTATCTAATCTTTATTCTTTTTCTTTTTGTTTTTAAAGGATACATTAGAATCGTAGCGGTGTGTTAGTAAACAGAAATACCATTAAAAGTCATGAAAAAACTAAGTTACCTGAATTGAATACGATAATTAATGGCTTCCGTCATGACAATAAAGAAATAAATGAATCAATTGTTGAAATATTTGGCTTTGGTTTGTTATTCGCTGTGGGAAGAAGATAAGGTTGGAATGAAGTTAACTTTCAGGAAGGAGGTTGGCATTAGTCGGGATGGAAGGTTAATAGGAAAGTAGAATAAAAAGAACCAATAAATTGAAACAGACTTGAATATGAGAAAAATATAAAACGATAGACAAGAAGACACACGCACACAAACATATATATATATATATATATATATATAACAGGATATATAAATAAATACATATAGACAGAAAATATAAATAAATAATTACAGACTGAATAGATAGATAATTATAGACTGAGATAGATAACAATATAGATATATATATATATATATATATATATATATATATATATATATATATATATATATATATAGATATAGAGAGAGAGAGAGATCGATCATGAACATCCATAGATAGATATAGATAGATAGATAGATAGATATCTGATAAATAGATAAATTGATAGGTAGATAAGAACAGACCGATACCGAAAGATATGAAAAGAACGAGATAGATAGAGACATAGATAGATAGATATGAACAGACCGAGACAGATAAATTAAATGTGATAAATAGATATATATAGACATGAGTATATATATATATATATATATATATATATATATATATATATATATATATATATATATATATATATCTATCTATCTATCTATCTATCTATCTATCTATATATATATATATATATATCTATTCATTCATCTATCTATCTATCTATCTATCTATCTATCTATATATATATATATATATATATATATATGTATATAAATATATTTAGAGAGAGAGAGAGGGAAGATTGATAGATAGAAAGAAATCGACTGTGATAATAGATACATAGGAATAAACACATACACACACGCACACACACATACGCACACACAACACACACACACACACACATATATATATATATATATATATATATATATATATATATGTATATAGATAGAAATAGATTGTGGCATATATATATAGCCAGATAGATAGATAGATAGATACTGTGATAGAACGAGATAATTAGGGAGACAGATAAAACAATGAAAGAAAGAAAGATGATGAGAAAAAGACATTTCTTGATATGATCAGCCCGCAATCAATATAATCGTACCCATTACCAATAAGTTTGTGGGATAAGCTGCTTAACCATTAATCTACACCCCCACCCCAGCCTGCAATCCGGATCAGAATTTTATAATGCGAAAACAACTGTATGTCAAAAGTTTCTTTTTAACTTTGGTTGTGCAAAATAAGAAAATTTGGACGACATTTCTGTCTTTAGTAAAAAGTATCCAAAAGTCTAGAGAACGGGAATATGCCGAAAGCTAACTGAATGATTAGCTGACATGGATTATTAATTTTGATTATCAAAGCCTTGAAAAATATTCGGCGATTCTTGATAGAAAATCATATAATTCACTTAAAAAAAAATACTCATATAACAGCGTCAATGTCAGTCAATGTGCCATGCGTGATAAACGCTTCGGCGATCATGATTGTCGAGGCATATTTTTCCCGTAGTAGGTTGCCATTTCTTTCTGCGGTTGACCAGTTGCCATCCAAGGCTATAGAACCCGATCTATTCTGCTATTTATGCATAGGTAGGGGGAGAACAAGAGAGTATTAGCAGGTAAATAAATGGAATGACCTTGACTACAATTCGAACTTGGATCTGCAATTTCCCAATCTGAGACACATTCCATTACACCACCTTGCTTACAACTTTATCATCAGTCATGAAAATATTTATATTGGTTTTCTTAAACCTTAGAAGCGCCTTTCAGCTAAATTGTATTCTGTCATGAATGTTTTTTCTGTAGTTATTGAGTTATTCCGGAAATGCTTTGAGAGATTCAGCTTTGATGATTGAAATTGCTGATCAGGGAAAAAATGTGTCGAAATCGAAATAACTTTTGGCTGAAACTAATGCGTCTGGAATAATTTTTTTTATATTAGGTATCTGATAGGTATTTGGAGGAAATTTGCCTAGCAAATACATGATAGCTATTTGGAGGAAATTTACCGACAAAATACATGATTGCTATTTGGAGGAAATTTACCAACCAAATATAAGATAGCTATTTGGAGGAAATTTATATACCAAATACATGATAGGTATTTACCACAAAATACATGATAGGTATTACATGATAGGTATTTGGAAGAATTTCCCTTACGAAGTACATCACCGCTATTTAGAGGAATTTCTCCTAATATACATAATTGGTATTTGGAAGAATTTCCTCTGACATGTGATATAAGAAGATCTGCTAGGAGTGATTGTGTTTAATATTTACTTATATAAGTTATGGAAAGAAAAACAAACGATTCAAAATGAATTCAGTTTGATAAATCAAAAATAAAATCTAAAATTCTATGCAGCCCTCCTTCGCGCGCATGTGCAGCCATACCAGCATAACAAATTTAGTCGGATGTAGTCCCGAATGGCATAACGCGTCACAATTCAACTTGTCCACATTTGTCATACAATTTCGTCAATATTATTTATGATTCATATATATATATATATATATATATATATATATATATATATATATATATATATATATATATAAGGCATATAGGGATTTTCGAAGCGTAGCTTGATGTGGCACAAGGCCGAAAGTATGGGGCATTGAGTGAGGATCGGACTCACTACTGACTCGTAATTTTTCTAGCAAGACAAGCTTGCTACCCATTACACAGCATCGGAGTGGTAATATATATATATATATATATATATATATATATATATATATATATATATATATATATATATATATATATATTTATATACCCTAAAAAAACTAATATTTATGGGATAAATACAAAAATATCAGAGATAGATACTCAAATACAAATTGTACATTGAAGTCAACACTCAGATGCGACAGGCTGTTTCATGCTAGACGCAATCGTCAGTGTTGACTTCAATGTACAATTTTGTATATATATATATATATATATATATATATCCTTTCAGCAACAACTCTATGAGCAACCAAGGCAATATCAAGAATAAAGTAAATATAGCAATATCATAAATGTTTTGTTTTGATCTATTTATGACCATTTTGAACTTTTTTTTACAGCTGGGCCAATCCTGTACAATGCCTGGAGATCACAAGAGGTAAATGGTTACAGTGTAAAGGGTACAGCTTATGTAGATATGTGTGTAAGATAACTGTTAATCTTAGATTTGTATAGATTAAGATTGTAGCGATCAGGGAAACATCCTCCTGGGTTCTGCAGAGCAATGATTCGCGGTAAGCTGTTCGAGTGGAACTTACTTTTCACTAAATAAATACGAAGGGAATGTGTGGTCGGATTGCTATAATGTGTGGCATGCGTGAAGGTTGGTCCTCACTTTCTATGGAAACAAGGACACGATTCCGCCTGTGAGAGTTTGTCAAAATAAAGGACTCGGGGGCGCTTTTGGACCCTATAGAGACTGTAAAGTGAGGATTGAGCAACCCTTGCCCTACTGTACCCGATTTTCGGCCATTTATAAAGGTAGGGGTTGTAATCTATCTGCTATCAGTACTATGTCATCTGGAGTATTATTTGGAGTCAAGTACTTCTTTCTTTTCTTTTTATTTGCCATGTCCTTTCGGGACGTAACAGATCATAGTTCTCTATCTCCCTCTGTCCCTTGCTGTTCCCTCCCCCCCTCTGCTTCCTCCCCCAGACCGCGTTCTGTCACACACCTCCTAAAGTTCGTCAAGTATGTCATGATCTGCTTTCCCTTGTCTCTTTCCCTCGTTTTGATCCTGTGAGTTTCAGATTCTCCAGTCCCTCCTTCCTCATTATGTGTCCCAGAAACTTCAACTGCCTCTTCCTGATATTGAGTATAAGACCCCTTCTTGTTTGCAACCTCTCTAAGATATCATCGTTGCTCGGTCCATGATATCCTTAGCATCCTTCTGTAGAACGACATCTCCGTCGCCTCGAGTCTCTTTTTCATCGTTGGGGAAATCGTCCAACATTCGCTTCCGTAAAGAAGGACAGATGTCACGTAACAGTTCAGGATCCTTTTCTTTGTTACCAAAGATATCCTCCTGTCTCGCATTACTCTGCCCAGCTTTTGGAATGTGTCCTTGGCCATCCCAATACGCCTACACATCTCAATGTCGAACTTACGGTCCTTTGTCAAGAAGCTTCCCAGGTATTTAAACTTCCGCGTCTGCTTGATTCTAGTGTTTCCGACCGTCAGATCGCATTTCGGGCTAATCCTCTTACTGACAACAATGCATTCTGTCTTCTTGTAGTTTATGCTTAGTACCTTCTTCTCACTCTCCGTCGCTACCTTCTGTGGGAGATTTTGTAATTTCATTTCCGTGTCTGCTATCAGTACTATGTCATCTGCGTATCTTATGTTGTTAAGATTGTGGCCGACAGTGCTAAATCCAGGTAGGGTTTCCAATTCTCTCAGAATTGCCTCGCTGTATAGGTTGAACAGGTCAGGTGGGAAGACGCATCCTTGCCTTACACCTCTTTTTATTTTTGTATACTCACTGAACTCGTTCCCTATGCGCATTCATGCTGTTTGCTGCCAGTATAGGTTCTTGATTATTCTGGTATCTTTCTAGAATATTTCGAGGTTGCTGAGCAGTTCCATCAGATCCTTGTGGCGTACTTTCTCGAAGGCCTTTGCACAGTCTATGAAACATAGGTACACGTCCTTCTGCATCTGTATTGCTCTTTCTGATAACATTCTGTGCATGAATATCGCGTTCCTTGTTCCAGTGTCTTTAATGAACCCGCACTGTTCTTGTCCTATCTCTGATTCTACTGCGCGCTCTATTCAACAGAATACGGATAATGAGTTTTGTCATGTGGCTCATCAGGCTTATTGACGAATTTTTACAGTGATTTTTATTACAGAGGCATTGAACAGTTAGTGGGTCTTCGGCAGGAGGAGAAAGACATCGTTGGGCGATCCATCGGAACTATTAATAAATGATAAATATTAAAATAAATTATAAAAATCGAACGAATTTATTTAACAATCTAATATATAAGATGTGCCCTCAGGTTTTTACCAAGGCTGATTATTTGGCCGTTTGCATTGTTTTTTTGTTTTTTTTCGTGAGCGACGAAAACTCAAAATACCGGAAAGTATCCAGTCAGAAACGAGAAAAAATGATTCAGGATGATCTATGAAATCTCAAGCTGTAATTAATGAATCTTTGTTCGCTCACCGAAGTTAAGCAACGTCGAGTGTGGTCAGTACCTAGATGGGTGACGGCTTGGGAATACCACGTTCTGTAATCTTGTATGTGCGGGTGGTGTAATGGATAATGGATCGGAATTAAAATTCGGAGAGTCGAGTTCAAATTCCAGTCGTGTTCGTTTTTTTCGATTATGTGCAACTACCCTTAGGGAAGACATGAATCCATCTCATCTCTTCCAAGATATGGGTTAAATAGTAGGACTTGTATTAGAAAATCGTTATTATCTCCTTAAAATACAATCCAAAAATATGTTTTGGATTTAAATGACCTTTAAAACGTTGATAAACCGTAAAAAAAAACCAAATAAGTTTTTCATTGCTCTTTCTCCTTTTACTCCAGTTTGATTTTAGAATTTGACGTAATGGGAAGCATCGAGAATTTGTTAACTAATTGGCTAATATTTTAAACTAATCTTACAAAGCAATGAGGTGTTATTTTCCACTCTGCAGCCTATTTCCCCATAGACGCAAAGTAACAAAGCTATCTCTGCTCTGTGGCTGTTTCAATAGCTAATTTTCAGCTGATCAACATTCTTTAGTTCTACCAGTTCAGACCTTTACTGCTAAGGCACACCATTCTACTTCCATGGAACCGAATCACTCTCGTTTCTCCAGAGTTCCAAAAGTAAACCTGCAATCAGGTAGCTTTTCTTCAAAGACAGACTCCCGTGAGAATACTTCCCGCACGCTACAATATTAACCTCTTCAAGTCAAAGGCCAATATTTCTATCTTATGTTCATAATCTTTATTCGTTACCACATCCTGTTTCACTAGACATCACATATTGTTTATCTTTTATCTGGAACTTGTTCTTTTATTGTCTTTTCTCCTCCCAAAAGTCTTCTCATTCTCTTTCACTCCTAGTAAACCCTTACGTCTTAGTGTCAGCGTCACCTTCAGTCAGTCTGTTAATTACCACACGTTTGGGCGATCATGTTTTGACGAGGTAGATTTTTTCCGCAGTAGATTGGTTGCCAAGCAAGGCGAAACTGTTTTTTCTGCGGTACACTGGTTGCCAACGAAGGCTAAAGGAAGCAGTCTGTCCTGCTATTTAACCCATAGCTGGGGGAAAAGATATAGATTCATATTTAAGTGAATCTAATGAACTCGTTTAGAGTTAGAACTCGGCTCTCTGAGTTCTCACTCCGAGTCGAAATCCATTACACCACAAAGCACATACTTATTGTTAACATGCTTGCGGTGAAATAATAAAAAAATAATTTTTAATTGTAATCCTCTAGCTTGAGTGGCTTCTAAGCCTTGTATTGAATGAATTCTACTTAAAAAATATACTTACTCATTGTTTTGTGAATGTTTTCTATTAGATCTTAAAAGTTGAAAAAGACTCAGCGAAATAAAATGATAAAGGTTGTCTGTTATATACGGGGAGGGGGGTCAGATAAAATAAAAAAAAGCTTGTTCTAATTAAATATTAAAATATTCGAGTTCTTGGAAGGCAGGTGATAAAATCGTTTTACCTTTTCTATTCCTATTCAGAAGCATCTTTCGAAATTGCAAACCCACTGAATACACGTAGAACACAAAGAGCTCTCAACGTATTTATGTTCTAGGGGAAGAATGTGATGCAAACACCCACTTGAGCTTAATAAATAGTTACGCTATAATGAAATGGGTTCGTTGTGTTTTCTTTTTAATTATTTCACCTCAAGTAAGGCAATAAATGCACTAAGATGCAAGAGGTTATTGAGCGTGAAATAATATGAGAAAAAGAAAAACCTTATTAAGGAAAGAGAACAGTAAAAGAACTGAAATTAAGAAGACAGAAGAAAACGATTGAATATTTTAATTTTTGAAGATTAAAGATAACTGGAAAGTAAGAAGCTTGAATGGATACTCACAAGGGTCAAGTTCGAGAGAAGAAACAGATAGCATAGAACTTACGGTTCATCTCACCATTTCAAGTGTAAAAGAATGAGACCTAGCTGCCAATCTAGCAATTCACTTAAATTCGTAAAGTTTAGGTACCAAAGACAAAAAACAAAAAAACAAAAAACAAAAAAAAACAAAAAACAAACAAAAAAAAAACAAAACAAAAAAACCCTCAGCAAAACAATTATCATGAAATGCAAAAAGATACACAAGAGTGGCTGTTCAAGACAACTTTCATTTCGCGATTTGATGAGAGACAGCGGAGAGCTATTGTGCAAGAATAAAAAAAAGGAACAGGTTAATTAATTTGCTGATGTAAGAAATCAACTAAGAAACTTCTATAAAATTGATGTTCATAAAATCTTTCATTCAAAAGTGAAATATTACGATTAAGAAAAACGGAGATGAGATATGGAATTATCAGGCTTCTCTGTTCTAATAAGATTAAATCTGCTGTAAATAAAAAAAAACTTTTTCGCCAACCCTCTTATCTATCTATCTATCTATCTATCTCTATCTATCTATCTATCTATCAAGTCTGGTCATTCTCTATCTATTTATCTATCTAACTATTCTAGTCTTTTCATTATCTATCTATCTATCTATCTATCTATCTATCTATCTATCTATCTATTTATCTATCTATCTATCTATCTTTTAGTCATTCATCTATTTTATCTATCTATCTATCTATCTTTTCATCTATCTATCTATTCATCTATCTATCTATCTATCTATCTATTTATCTATCTATTCTATCCAGTCTTTTCTCTATCTATTCTATCTATCTATCTATCTATCTATCTTCTATCTATCTATTATCTCTATCTATCTATCTATCTATTAGTCTTTTCATTATCTTTATCTATCTATCTATCTATCTATCTATCTGGTCATTTCTCTATCTATTTATCATCTATCTATCTATCTATCTATCTTCTCTATCTATTTATCTATCTATCTATTAGTCTTTTTTCATTATCTATCTATCTATCTATCTATCTATCTATCTATCTATCTATCTAGCTAGCTAGCTAGCTAAAGCAGTTAATGATTGTGATAGCCTGAAGCCATGTCATCATGACTTATGACTTCACGCTCATAAGTTATCACGCTCGATTATGCCTCCCCACCCTTCCCGAAACTGTAATTATGGTCTGATCAGTATAGTTTCAATGAAAGCCACATGTTGACATTGTGGCTGTTGAAGAAACTGAAATGTTTCTAAGTGAGCGCCTGCAACAGGGATTAGCAGGGATCACATTAACAGACTTGTGACTGGGAAACGAGTTATTATTATTACATATTTTGTTTATATGTGTCTGTGTGTGTTTATATGTGTGTACGAGATCGAGGAAAAGAGATAGATCAAGAGACTGACAGACATACAGATAGATAGATAGATAGATAGATCGAAAGAGAGGGAGAGAGGAAGAGAAAGGAATGAGAGAGTGAGAGAAGGCGATATAGATATATATATAGAGATTGAGAGCTAGAGAAAGAGAAAGAAAAATATGCAGAAAGAGAGAAAGGGAGAGCAAGAGAGAGAAAAAGATATGTAGAAAGAGAGAACGAGAGAAAGCGAGAAAGAGAGAGTGTGAACGAAAGAAAGAAAGAAAGAAAGAAAGAAAGAAAGAAAGAAAGAAAAAAGGAGGGCGGGTTCCGTGGCAAACGTTTTTAAATCTCGACCATAAGATTGATGAAATTATCCGCTTAAAAAGAGATATTTTATTTTGCGAATAGTCATAAAGTATAAAATGTCTCGATGGCTGCGATCATAAAATGATAAATCTAAGGGAATCGAGTAACGTGAAAAATGGCTTCTTTTTCAAAGTGATGACGTCTAATGGAACAACACCAGGCATGTTAACATTTAATCTCCCCCCTCTCTCTCTCCTTCCCCCTCTCACTGACTCCGGCATTTCTTCCCCTCTCTCATTCTGCATCTTTATTTCTCTCCCTCCCCTTTTTCCTCCTTATCTCCATCATTTTCTCGCCTTGACTCTACCTCTTTATCTCTCTTCCTATGTTGCCTTCCCTCTTTCTATCTCTGTCTATTTCCCTCTTTCCTTCACCCTCTCTCATCTTCCTCCCCTCACACCCACATTCTCCCTCTCTTTGTCTTGTTCATTCCTTCTCTCGTGGCAGAGAACATCACGATATAAGCACGCATGCACATTGCACATTAGATAAACAAATACGAAGCTTGATAATGAAAAAAACATTTTTATAGAAAATTTTTCAACATCATCTCATCAATAAACTTAATCTATGGTCGGGTATTAATCTCAAACAAGGGGGTGCAGAAAATTTATCTTCCCAATTCAATTCCCCAAAACTGACCAAATGACCAAAAACCAGAAATATTTTCACTGTTTCTTAAACGGACTGAGAAATTCTTAACATCCTTTTGTAGATCAAAAATTATATCGTTATACTTTCAGATCGAACATTATACCGTGAGATTTATAGGATACAAATCCTATATTCCAACAAATGACTAAAAAAAAACACACAAAGTAGATTTACACACCCGCAAAATCGGATCAGAACGACCAAAAACAGATTTCACAATAAGGTGTGAAATTAATTTTCTGACCAATGAAAGGAGGCGATTTGCTAAACCAAAAAAAAAGATAACGAGCCAGTGTGAAAAAAAAGTCAACAATAAATACAGAGTTTTCAAGTCAGTCGCCAGTCAGTCAGTCAGAGAAGGGCGCAAAAGATCACAGAAGATTGACAGTAAATTTCATCACTGACTCAACCCGAAAAGTGGAGTAGGAAGGAACAACAACAACAATAACAAATTTACAACTGGCTTCAAAACAATTCATAAGTACATTTTCCTTTCATCTTTATTCCAAATTCACACTCTTTTTTTTTAACTTAAATTGCTCGCCCCTTTTTCATTTTACAATCTATACAAAACAAAAGAAACATACATTATTCTGCTACTCTGTTAAAAGACAGCGAACACAGACATTTCTATCAAAATCACATTTTTTGCTTAAACGAACTAAAATAGTAATCTTTTTTACCCTATTCACAAGATAATAAATATACAATGTTTTTTTTTTATAAACATTCCTTATCGTGTTGTTTCTTCTTGAAATTTGCGTTGTATTTTGTGGGAAGGGTATCCCGTATTAAATTCTCCTTTAATCCGGGTACGCTGAACCCCACAGATTTACAGATCAAGCATTTTACCGTGAAGCTTTCAGATCAAGCATTGTACAGTGAGATTCTCAGATCAAACATTATGCCGTGAGGATGTCATATCAAGCATTTGAGACTCTCAGATCAAGCATTATACTGTGAGACTCTCAGATCAAATTTCAACTGAAAACTTAACATACGGACTTCATACTTATAAAATATTACCGTAAACCCAAAATGTGCTATTTTTTTTGTGTGAACATCCAGTAATGTTACATGGAACGCCAGGGTCCATATAGACCCCGTTTGAGAATCACTGACAAAGCAAGAATCGCTTGACAACGTTAACTCGTATGAAAGGATAGCCCTAGTCGTAATCCGAGTTTCAAGCTCACGCGATCTTCAGATGACTTGAACACAAATTTTAGAAGGGGTAACTTTTATATAACTTATAATCGTAAACCGCTGACCTTAAAGCATCAAAGAAAAATAAAACAAAATAATTTCATTCACCAACCCAGGGGAAAAAAAGAAAATAAGCTTTGAAAAATTGAACCCTGTGGGTGGATGGGATTTATTGCTAATGGACGCACCAGTCTACTACGGACATCCTTTTATAGTATATATATATATATATATATATATATATATAGTTGTATATTTAGGCAGCAATCCTTCGTTTATGCATGTTTCACTAAAAACGACAGACAAGGTAATACGGTTAAGCTTTTTATTTAATTTTTCTTGTGTTCGAACGAGGGGTTTCTTTTCTGGACAAAGGGTGTGTAAGAACTGTCCAAATGTTTTATATATCCGAGCGCTTTCGGCTATACCTTTAGCCATTATCAAGGATGATTAGATTTTTCAGCTTGATTGAGTGTGTGCGTTCTGTGTATGTCTTAGTGTGTAGTAGGGATGTTTTAATTTCCGAATACGGTTAGCACATTGTGGCCTTGTTCGTAGTTAATATTTTTAAGAGTTGTTTTTTATTTTTTATTATTAAAGCTTCCATTATTTTAAATCTTTTTTTACAGGTGGATGCAGTTAATATATTTGTGTTTTCTACTAGTATGTTTCTAATGGAGTCTGGTAAATTTGTGTGTGTGTTTAAATGGGTTTTAATGGAGCTGTGATCAGATAGGTGTAACGTAAGACGTCTGGATAAGCATGTGGTTGTGTAACCGATGTAATTATTTATGAGTCCGGTTTGATCAAGAACACAGTTCTTTAAGGGGTATTTGAACTCATAGATAATGTTCGCTCTTTGTAATTTTGACTTAGTTGGTGTGTTGTTAATTTTTGAGGATAAGGTTTTTGAGTACATATATATATATATATATGTGTGTGTGTGTGTGTGTGTCTCTCTCTCTCTCTCTCTGTCTGTGTGTGTGTGTATGTGTGTATTCTCGCTGATAAATTATTGGATTTTTTAGGCCTTATTTCTGATTACACTTGGGTAGATATAAGCTTTCTGAATGACATATGCATTCCTGAAAAGCTTATTGTAATTTGCTCGGTAGGGAAACATTCTCTGGGTGAGCGATCACAAACACACCGGATCATTCAATGGTTTTCCCCTACAAAGTTCGCATCTTGCTAACGGGCACAATTTCTTTAAGACACTGGGATGCATAGGTCGGTGTATGTAATACACACCGTTAAAAAAAAAAGAAAGTAGGACGTTTATTGAAACACGTGCATCGACTAAAATATAACGTTTAAGAAATAATATACATTTCATATTACTCTCAACGTTATATTTATTGGTTAAACGTGTTTGGGTAGGGGTAAATTAATATTTACCGGCCTTGTGATTGATAGTTTTATTAAGGAAAGGTAATTTGGGAAATCACCTTCAAGTCAGGTGTGTTTTACCACTAAGATACAAGAAGCCGCTCGCTTTTGTTTGTTTTCATCTTGTGGTCTGCTGTAAACAGCTATGTCTACGATCTGACAGATCGTTGTTTTGTCTGTGACTTTTTATCCATGTGTGGCCTTCTTCAGTCGTGTAAGATAAATAGTTTTCATCCAACAAATATATCTCAAAGTTTCCTTACTTTTGAAAATCTCAGTTCATTCAATTTGTCATTCATTCAATTTTACAAATGTTTCAACTACGATACGTAATGACAAAAATTAGCCATTTCCTAATAAGGAAACACGCGGCATGCATTAACGGAGCAGCCAGTGCTACTCGTGATACGCTTTTGTTGACTTCCTGAGCATCGGGCTGGGATCAAAGTGTAGGAGCTGTTCTCCTCATATGGTAATATTAGCCGTTTCCAGTTCTATCGTCGGTTGAACTTTATAAAATCTTTTTATTAAAACAATTTTTCTGGGAAAAAAGATTTCAAAGGTACGCTAACTTAGACAGCAGATAATTCAAATATCTTTGCATGAATTTGGTTGTTTTCCTGATTATCGGTGGCACCTGGTTGGTCTAATGTTTTCAGATATTTGCAGATTGTATGTTTTGAATGCCCGTGTGATAAGCTCATCCTTACGTCTCTAGGAATGACCCATAAATCTGAAATGGGACACAGAACGGATTTTTTTGAAGGTCACTGTTTTTAGGATAGATTCAATTCGACATCCTTGTATAAGCGCCATCTTGCTTCTTTTCTAGTCCTTTTGTTAATACCCATTCATTTCAGAAAGCAGATAGGCTTATGGCTTGCAGGAAACTAGTTTTATCTAATACGGTTTAGAGATTTTCAGACCATTGACAGCTTGTCCATTGCGTCCCAAGGGAAGGTACGCATCAGTTTTAGTCATTGACTATTTTAATGGCTTGCCGGACAGGGAAATAGAGCTTTATTGATTAAAGCACATGAACACTGTTTCGTTTTCATTTGCATAAACACCAATTT